CCGGGTTTCAGGAGGGGCTGGTGCTGCTGTCTGGGATCCGCAGGGCCCCGGTAAGGTACACCTCCCTGAGTGTAAGGGTAGGCAAAGGGAGACTTGCCCCCCACCGCCCAAGCCTGCCCAGGGAGCTGGGAGTCACCAGGGCTGTGCCAGTTTATCGACTTTTCTTTTGTAAAGGGAGTTGTGGGCAAGGAGGGGGCATTTAATGTCATAAAATCATAGGGAAGACATAGGAGGTGACAGGAGTGGGGTGGCCTTCCTGCCTCTGGAGCACCCTGGCATGCAGCGTCCCCGGCCCCTCCTTCACTCCCCAGAAAGGGGCAGGAGAGCGATGGGGCCAGCACGTGGACAGTACTGCTGGTCACCTTCACTTTCTCCCCTAGGCCCGAATTTCCTTCTGCCTGACTCACTGTGCCACCTGTCAGCCTCAGTTGCCCTAGTTGCCAAAAGAAGCCTGGACTAGGGACTCCCAGATTTGGGACGTCACAACAGCATAGTAACATTAAAAGAAGTTTCATAACTGGCATAGCATCGTTAGTTCTTCATTTTGCCAAGAAAGGACATTAAATTTTTAAGAAGCTGCCAGTACCTCCCATTTCAAAAAAAAAAAAAAAAAGCAAGTTTAGCACTAAAAGGATGCAATGTTAGAATAAATACACTACAGCGACTCCACTGTCCTCATTTTGCCATGGGCTGGCAGCCCGAACTCAGTTCAAGAGTTTGGGACACCGTGGAGCACCACACCCACCTTCTGGTTCCATAACTATGCTGAGTTCCAGGACCCTCACGAAGACCCCAAGAGGGAGGCTGGGCAGAAGGAGTAACCCCATCAACTGCAGGAGGGACCAGGCCAGGGAGGGTAGTGATTTGTTGGTCACGCAGCAAAGCAGTGTCAGAGGGGCCAGGACCCAGTTGGCGTGTGAGTGTTGGGTGGGAGTATGATGCTGAGGTGGGCCTCCACCATAGAAACCGTGCCTGAAACCGCGTTCTTTCATTGCACATTAATGGACACCATTGGTTGCAATGAGAATTAAACCATTCCCTCCCTGCCTTCCAGAAAAGGACAGTTTAAGCATAATGTTGTTGTTGGCTCCAACTCATGGTGACCCTATGCACAACCGACCCCATGTACAACAGAACAAGCTCACGTACAACAGAACAAACGTTGCCCAGTCCTGCACCATCTTTCTGATTGTTGGTCCGTTGTTACGGCCGCGGTGTATTTTGAAAGCCTTCAGCCTAGGGGGTTCATCTTCCATCACTACATCAGACAATGTTCTTTTGTGATCCAGAAAGTTTTCATTGGCTGATTTTCAGAAGTAGATTGCCAGGCCTTTTTTCCTAGTCTGTCTGGAAGCTCTGCTGAAACCTGTCCACCATGGATGACCCTGCTGGTAGTTGAAATACTGGTGACCTAGCTTCCAGCATCACAGCAACATACAAGCCACCACAGTATGACAAGCTGACAGACATAATACAGGCACTTAAATAATCAGGGCTCTTTTTTATAAAGAATAAGATATCTGTCTTCAAAGGAAGATGGCACGGAGACACCTCTGGCCCCTCTCCCTCATCCATGCACCCTTTCCTATCACACTCTACCTTTTGCAGTGTGCCCTCCCCAGGAAGCCCCTGTGACAAACAAGAAGAAGAAAACCTGACCATCTCCTGGGGCTTGTCAATGAAAACTTGACGCCAGGCTTTGTACTTTTTATTTTTTCGGTGGCGGCATTGTGCAGGTCAGCCCACGTGTTGGTAGGTGAACTTCTTCCTGCCAAGTGAGTCCATGGCGACGGGAGCCTCATTTGCTTGAGCAAGTCACTCGGCAGACGAGGTTCTGGGCTGTCACCAGCTAAGGGTCTTCACAGAGACGAGCCTCCTTCCTGGTGGAGGATGATGGGTTTGGGGGGAGCAGTGTGCCTGGGGAGGCAGCTTTCCATTTCTGAGCACCAGGATGTGTCGGGAGCATTGGGAGCCCGTGCCCGCCATAACACAGGCCAAGCAGCCAGCACAGGGTCTGGCATACACTAGGGACTCAGGAAACAGGGACCTTGAGAGGAGGCACGGCGGAGAGCGGGCTAAAACTGTGCCCCACTGGCTGTGATGTGGTGGGGGTCGGGTGGTGGAAGGCAGGGGCAGGGGGGTGAGTGTTGCAGTAGGGGGTGGGAGCGAGTGTTGAGATTTGGGATGAATGTTAGGGTTGGAGTAAGTGTGAGCGTTGGGGTTGGGGTGAGAGCTGGGGTTGGGATGTGTTGGGGTGGGGTGTGTTGGAAATGAGGATGAATGTTGGGGTTGGGGTGAGTGTTAGAATTGGGATATATTGGGGTTGGGGGGGTGAGTGTTGGGGTGGGGTGTGGATGTTGAGGTAGGGGTAAATGCCAGGGGTGGAGACATGTGGAACCTCAGGGCTGACCCTGGGACGTGGGCCTTGACTGAGGTTCCAGTCACTTCAGCTCACTGCTGGGGGTATAATGAGCAGTGCAGGTGAGGGGAGGCCCAAGGAACTCCATTCTTCTGTGGCCATGAGGGGATCATCTCCCTACTCCCTCACCCCTGCCTAGAGGGTGGGAGCCCCATGAAGAGCCTTTTTCTGCAGCATGAGATGAACCCCCAGGTCAGGAGCTCAGTCCCCTTGGGCAGAGAAGCAGGGGGTCCGCCAGCACCCTAGGCTCAAATTCAGCCTTGGGCAGGGCCCTCGCCCTCGTCCTCCCAAGGCCCAGTCTCCATGTTTTGTCTCTCTGCCTCTCTCTCAGAGACCTGTGGGCAGTGGGTTCACGGCCCACTGGGGCGCTGGGCTAGTGCCCTGTCTTCCCTTACCCCAAACCCACCTCAACCCCCTCCAGGGAGGAAGTCGGTGAGGCTGAAGGGGCCTCTCTGCCTGGAAGCACCTTGACTTTCCTCTGGGAGCTCTGGAGTGGGAGCAAGGGACCTGAGTCCAGGACTGGCCCTGCCTGGCCTCTCTCTGGGACCCTCGGGGAGTCATTCCATCTCTGGGCTTCGTTGGCTCTGATGTAAAATGACAGTCTGAGGTGCTAGTGGAGGCATTCAAGGCAGTGGCGCAGAGCAAAGGGAGGATTTTTATCAAAGGAAGAGCTTCTGGAAAACTATTTATACTACAGCAGGTGCTACCCCCTGGTGCCCTGGCTGGTGGGACTCTGGGGGAGATAGCAACAGGGTCTGGGATTTCCTGGCTACAGTTATGACCTCCTAAGGGCGGGGCTTTGCACTAGAGGCCACGCCCACATTACCAGTTAGGGCTTCAAACAATGGGTCTCATTAGTCCCATTCTTCCAGATGAGGAAACTGAGGCTCAGAGGAGTCAAGTAACCTGCCCACAAGTCACATGGCAGATCTGGGATTCAAACCCCAGACTGTGGGAGCCAGGGAGCTCCTTTCAAGGCGGCGGGAGGGAGAAGCACCCCGAATCGGGGTAGGGTGACCATGGGAAGGAGGTGGGGGGCAGGGCTCACTGTCCCTGGGCTGGGAGAGGGAGTTTCTCTGGGGAAGAGGCAGGCTCTGAAGCTGTTGATCTCTAAATTACAGCGTTGGCGCGCACCGGTTGCTGCGGCAACCAAGTTGTCCTGAACCGGGGAAGTGTATAAACATTGCCACAGATGCACAATTAGATCAGGAAGAAGAATAGAACAGAAAATAGAAACTTCCAGCCTTATATAATTCTGGGCCAAAACGTTACCCGCAGCCCAAGCCCGGGCCGGCCCTGCCAGCCCTAGGGCCCTGGGCAGCACCATCTCTCTCCTGGGGCGCCAGTGGAAGGGAAGGACGACAGGGGGCCCACCCTCCATGGACCCAGCTGGTGTGCCTGCCGCTGGGTGGGGTGAAGGGCCACCTCCGCTGAAACAGCTGGGGACGCTGACAGGGAATCATGCCTTTCGCTGACTTCCTCCCGCTCCCAGGAAGCAGGAAGGAAGGCCAGAGGGCCGCTGGCTTTAACTGAGCACCTACTCTCTCCTCAGGTCCTGTGAGGTAGGGATTTAGAGCCCCATTTTATAGATGAGAAAACTGAGGCTCAGAGAGGTGAAATGAGTTGCAACATAGCTAGGCAGGGGATGTGCCTGCCTCTTCCACTCCCTGTCTCTTCACGGCATGAACACATCTGTAGGGGGCCAAAGAGTTAGACACATGCGGGTTTGGATCCACTTACTTACCAGCTGTGTGGCCTTCAGCAGCTCACTTCTGCTGCCTGAGCCCCGATTTCTTCACCTGTGACATGAGGATAGCAATGCTTAATGCACAGGGCCAAAGCGCGGGGGCCCCCCTTCCTCTACCTTGACCACGACCATTGCAGTCCTCACTTGCTTTTGCTCCTGACAAGTTTAGGGACAGAACAGGGATCTGGGCCCAGCGGCTCAAAGCAAGACTAGGAGGGAAGGGTCCAAGAGAGGAGCCGAGGTGGGGCTGGGGGGTCCAGCGCCGTCCAGTAGAACTGTCTGCAGTGGTGGAAGTGTTCCACAGCCACACTGTCCGGTATGGCAGCCTCTAGCCATATGTGACCATTGAGCATTTGAAATGTGACTAGTGCAACTAAGGAAGTAAAGATTAAATTTAAGTGTAATTAATTTAAATATAAAGAGTCACAGGTGGCTAGCGGCTACCTACTGGACAGCAAAGGAGACTGTCTGGTCCCTGAGAGAACAAGGGAAACCAAGACGGCATCGAGAAAATCCCGGAACAGCAGGCAAAGGAGAGTGGGAGGGGCAGCATGGAGGGGCTGGGATGAGACCTGCATCCTGGCGGCCTCAGCTTCCTGGTCCGTCAGACCCCAATCCCGGAGCTGTGCCAGCCTCGGCAGCACTGGCTCAGGCCCTCATACTCCCTCCTGTCATCAGAACCACCTGAACTGTCACCTCCGGCCTGCCTGGGTGGAAGGAGGCTTGGGTTCAAGTGCAGGCTCTTCCCTTCTGAGCATCTTTGATGTCCCGAGCCTGGTGTCCATGGCAGCCCTTGCTCCCCGGCGTCTCACGTTTCTGGCTTCTCCTTCCCAGGCCCTGCATCTTCCCAGGTGACCACGCCGGCATCAGGACATGCACGGGCACAGCCGCAACGGGCAGGCCCACGTGCCCCGGCGGAAACGCCGCAACCGCTTCGTCAAGAAGAACGGCCAATGCAACGTCTACTTCGCCAACCTGAGCAACAAGTCACAGCGCTACATGGCAGACATCTTCACCACCTGTGTGGACACACGCTGGCGCTACATGCTCATGATCTTCTCCGCGGCCTTCCTTGTCTCTTGGCTCTTCTTTGGCCTCCTCTTCTGGTGTATTGCCTTCTTCCACGGTGACCTGGAGGTCAGCCCGGCGGTGCCCGCAGCAGGGGCCCCGGTGGGCAGTGGTGGGACGGCCCCAGTGGCCCCCAAGCCTTGCATCATGCACGTGAACGGCTTTCTGGGCGCCTTCCTGTTCTCGGTGGAGACGCAGACGACCATCGGCTACGGGTTCCGGTGCGTGACAGAGGAGTGCCCGCTTGCCGTCATCGCTGTGGTGGTCCAGTCCATCGTAGGCTGTGTCATTGACTCCTTCATGATCGGCACCATCATGGCCAAGATGGCGCGTCCCAAGAAGCGGGCACAGACGCTGCTGTTCAGCCACCACGCAGTCATCTCAGTGCGAGATGGCAAGCTCTGCCTGATGTGGCGTGTGGGCAACCTACGCAAGAGCCACATTGTGGAGGCCCATGTACGGGCCCAGCTCATCAAGCCCTACATGACCCAGGAGGGCGAGTACCTGCCACTGGACCAGCGGGACCTCAACGTGGGCTACGACATCGGCCTGGACCGCATCTTCCTGGTGTCACCCATCATCATTGTCCACGAGATCGACGAAGACAGCCCACTCTATGGCATGGGCAAGGAGGAGCTGGAGTCAGAGGACTTCGAGATTGTGGTCATCCTCGAGGGCATGGTGGAGGCCACCGCCATGACCACCCAGGCCCGCAGCTCCTACCTGGCCAGTGAGATCCTGTGGGGCCACCGCTTCGAACCCGTGGTCTTCGAGGAGAAGAGCCACTACAAGGTGGACTACTCACGCTTCCACAAGACCTACGAGGTGGCCGGCACGCCCTGCTGCTCCGCCCGGGAGCTGCAGGAGAGCAAGATCACCGTGCTGCCCGCCCCGCCGCCCCCGCCCAGTGCCTTCTGCTATGAGAACGAGCTGGCCCTCATGAGCCAGGAGGAAGAGGAGATGGAGGAGGAGGCTGCGGCCGCTGCTGCTGTGGCTGCGGGCCTGGGCCTGGAGGCGGCCTCCAAGGAGGAGGCGGGCATCATCCGGATGCTGGAGTTTGGCAGTCACCTGGATCTGGAGCGTATGCAAGCCACGCTCCCACTGGACAACATCTCCTACCGCAGGGAGTCCGCCATTTGACCTCCAGGCCCACCCTCGTCGCCTCCTTCGAGAGCTCTGCAGGGGGTGGGATGCCAGGACACTCCCGCCCACACTCAGGACAGAGCAGACCCTGGCTCAAGGGACCTTCTGGAGGGAGGCAGGGGCTTAGACGACTGGGAGACCACTTCCTGCCAGCTCCAGAGCCCAAGCTTGGATGGGCCCATGACACCAAGGCCCTGTCAGCCAGGGTTTCCCAGCTATTACCTACAGGAGGCTCTGGGACCCCAGGCCACCACCCTTTTCCCACCGACCCTTCAAGGACGTGCCCTTTTGCTCTCAGAACCTTGGGGAAGGCGGCTGGACTGCTGCGGGGTGGGCATCATGGGGTTCTGGGGTGGGCCGGGGGTTAGTTGGGGGGAGGGAGGGAGGGGGGTGCGTTTCTTTGCATGACTGTGGCCTGTTGCTCATGACTTTCTTTTGTAAATATCTATAAATGGAGAGAGATGGAGGCACCACATCCACTTTCTGCCATTTTTACCTGCAGGACAAGGAGATGCAGTCCCTCTCTGTGCACCCTTCCCTTTCTCCATCAGTCGGTCAAGCTGAGTCCCTTTCCCACCCAGCTGTCTGCCCCCAAGACCACCAAAGCCAGCCGTGTTGACCCCTGGATGGTGTTGGGTTTGGGTACAGAGGTGGACCCTGGAGGTGCAGGATGAGGGCCTGGCCCTCTTCTATGGTCCCGCCCAGTCCCCAGCCCCAGCCCAATGGACAATGGAGTTTGTAATGATATATTTTTAATAAAGTATATGGTCCAGTAGGGGTAGGCTGGTTGAAGGTGGAGGGGTGGGAAACAGGGAGAGAGGGAGAGAGAGAAAGAACACGTGTGGTGTGTGTGTCCCTTTCTGAGAGATTGACCCTTGAAAGGACCCTGGAAGGGAACTTTCTCACCTGTTATTCTCCTTCCTGAGAGTCAGTGGGGAGGACCCTGAGTTGGCATCAGAGGACCTGGGTATGAGTCCAGAGCTTTGCTACTTACTAGCTGTGTGACTGTCAGCAAATTGCTTACTGGCTCTTGGCCTCAATTTCATAACCTGTAGAATGGGATTGACCATACCTCTGTCCCAAGAGATGATGGGCAGGAAGAACACTGTGGATGTCAACCAACCCTTTATAACTTGAGTAGAAGTGGGAAGAGTCTACCTGATTTATACCCCCCCCCCCCCCATCAACTGGGCTAATGAAGCTGGCCACAAGACACTGGTGGGACGAGCTCTCAGGGTCAGCTGGGAAACCTGGTCCTAGTCCAGTCTTGATCTCTGCCTCACTGTGGGACACTGAGTACATCCCTTCCTTTCCCTGGGCATCAGTTAGCCTGCACTGTATAACAAGCCTCCCCAAAAACTTAGTGGTTTCAACAGTGATTTGTTATTTCTCATGATACAGAGTGAGGCTGGGTGGGCTCACTCAGGCAGCCATGTTCTGCTGGAATGTCAGCTAGGCTGCGAGGTCCAGGATGGCCTCACCCGCGTGTCTGACAGCAGTCTGCCTGGGTCTCCTCCCTAGGCCTCTTGTGCCCCAGAAGCTGGACCAACGTCCTGACGTGGGCCTTAGGGCAGCAGACTAAGAGGGCAAAGATGGAAGCTGCAAGGACTCTTGAGGCCTAGCCTCAAAGTTCTATGACATCACTTCCACTGCATTCTATTGGCCAACCCAAGTCATGAGGACAGCTCAGATTCAAGGACTGGGAAATCAGGGCTTCAGACCGGTTCATTCCAGTTCAAACCCCTGCTGAGAATTTGCGTTTTCACCCCAGATATACTGAATCACAATCTACATTTTAAACAAGATCCCCAAGTGATTCTTATGTATAATAAATTTTGAGAACCACTATTCTACGAGTGGTTCTCAAAATTGGTCCCTAATCAGCAGCATTAGCATCACTAATTGTTGGAGCCTTGGTGGGGCAGTGGTTAAAAGCTTGGCTGCTAACCAAAAGGGCTGCAGTTCAACTCCACCAGCCACTCCTTGGAAACCCTATGGGTCAGTTCTACTCTGTTCTATAAGATCTCTGTGAGACTTTGGGTCTGAATCAACGCCACAGGTTTTTTTTTTTTTTTTTGGTTTTGGGAACTTGTCAGAAATGCAAATTCTCAGCAGGGGTTCCAACTGGAATGAACCAGTCTGAAGCCCTGGGGGAAATAGACTCCAAATCTAAATTGTGTTAGGGGAACATTGACATTACCTCACAAAGGGCATACACACGAGGATGGAATTGTGGCTGTACTTGCCAATCTATCACAGACCCTATGAGTTTGAGGTTTTCTTCCAGTTGTAGCTCCATTCTACATGCTGATTGTGCATCCAGCACTTGGGGTGTAAGGAAGCAGAGGGCACTCTCCCTGTTCCCAGAAATTTTCTACACAAAGGTACAGCTACCTCAGGAAACTCAGGGAAGGAATTGGCAGACAAACACCTACTGTGAAGTGCTGTAAGCTGCTTCGTGAATTACCACATTTCACCAGCACTGGCAACATGGCTGGCATTTGGGTGAATCCTTGTGCTTTAACACAATTGTTTACTTTCTGCTAACTTCTGAAAATCTTAAATACCTGCTTTAACAGTTGGCCTGAGACTTCTTTCTTGGAGAAAAAGGCTGGCCTGGGATCCAAATTCCCCTCCTACAAATTACTTATGATAATGCTTCATTTACATAACACCGTTCACATCCTTTAGATCACTGAACGCTTACCAAACTCCAAGGGGTACTTAGGATTATGATTATGGTCCTATTTTACAGATGAGGAAACTGAGGCCCAGGGAACTAAGATGTTGGCTTGAACCAAGGTAAGGATTGTCAGGGCTGAGGGGGCTGCTTTCCCCCAACTCCCACCCTCCCCTTGGCAGGGGCTAAGTGAGGGGGAGAGGCTGCCTCCTTTCTTCCCCTGCCCCTACCCAGAGCTGTGCCTTAGATTTCCCAGAGCGCACTGGTGAACTTCAGGGGCCACCCAGGGCCTGTAGGGGCCATTCAGCAAGACAAAAGCCCACACTCGCAGAAGGGCCCCTGGATCTCATCCTCTTCTGCCTGCAATGTTCTCAGTGACGCCCTGGGCACAAGGAGTAACCCAAGAGGCCCTCGGTCTTAGGCACTCTTGGACTCAGAACCTTCGACCTGGACCACATCTCAGAGGTCACCCAGCCCTCCACTCCTGGAGGAGGCCAGGGCACAGGGTGGGGAAAGGGGTACACATAGGGCCCACCCTACAAGCCCCCCCTATCTGGATGATGTGGGGACATGATGAAGGTGACAAACATCTCTGTCATCAGTCTACTACTTGCTCAGACACTTGTACCAGTCACCAGCTAGGAGGGGCCTTATCATGCAAACAACCCGTGGGACACAGGATAGGCACGTTTTGACAAGAGCTCGAAGCCAGGACTTTCTGGAGGGCCAACATGGAGCTCCAGTGTGAGCAGTGGGGTGGGCTCAGGAGGGCCCTGGGGAGGGGCCGCCAGGAGGCGGAGAGCCAGCCCCAGATACAGAGAAACTCCAAGGTTGATGACGGCACTCCCTGCAAACTCCTGCTCGCTCTGCCCCGTGCTGACTCACCTTCCTCACCCACCTGTTCCCCTTTCACAGCCCTCCCACCTGCCTCCCCACTTGCTTGCAGACAGCTCCTCTGATCTCTCCTACCCCACTCAGGGCTCCTGGCGGTGCTGAAATGGGGGGATCATGGCGGCTTAGCATCTGGTGGTATCAGAACCTCAGATGTCACCAAGCTTGGTATCACGGAAACTGGGGCTGGCTGACGGGGCCTTGGAGGTGCCCCCAAGCCCTTCCTCAGCCCACCCCATCTTCCTGGCAGAGCCACGGAGGGGAGACCACGTCCACCCTGCCTAGCCTGCCCTCTCTGTTCACACCCTTCAGTTCCAGCGGGGGGCGGGGGCTGGGGGGTGGGCAGAGCGGTAGAGAAGGAGTAGGATAACAGTATATCAGGTGGGAAAAAGGGAAGAAGAGAGGTCTAAGGAAGGGCTGGGGAGGGAAAGAGAGAGTCAGAGGCTGTGGCTAATGGAAGCTGAAAACCTGCCCTCATCTCGCCTCTCAGGCCTGCCTCAAATCCCCCCATCTGGCAGAATTCTCCAGGGTTCACCATTGTTTCCTTTCCGCAGCTTCTGAAAATTTTATTTTCCTTACGAACCTCAGGAGCTTAAAGAGAAATAGAAAGGGACCTGGAAGGCATTCAACTCCCTGTTTCCACCTTGTCAAACCCTCTCCTTTGTTCGGCCTTTGTCAGACGCTCACCTGTGATCAGGGCCCCTCCTTCCTGTGTCTACATTTTCTCACTGTAGTTTTTTTTCCCAGCATGGACTTCTCTGGATGTTGAAAGAGTCTACATATATTTTCCATTTTTAATGGTTACATAATGTTTGTAAAATCATAGATGAACTAATCCAGTCTTTCATTTTACAGGTGGGAAAACTGAGGCCTATGGGGGAGGGTAAACTTGCACCCATCTCTCCTGGGCTCCAGGCAGTGCCCTTCCCACTAGTACATGCAGGACCAACTACATAATTTGCAGGGCCCGGTGCAAAATGAACACGCAAGTGCCTTGCTCCAAAATGAGGAAAATCGTGCCACTAAGGATACTAAAATGTAAAGCTTTTTCTTTCTTCTAATTACCAACCCTGCCCAGGAGCACGCAACATTGTCTCATCGAACTTCCCTCACAAAATGCAAGTTCAAAAGCAACATTAAGAATTTCAAGACAGAGACCACGGATCATTAAACCAACTCTGTAACCCGCCCATGAAGCTGGGCCCTCTGAGGGCCTCCGTTGACCTAGTCCTTCCCTACTGTTGGGCATCTGGACGAGTTTCAACTTCTCTCCATGATACACAATGCTGCGATGAACATCTCTGTGTTTTGTTTTTTGTTTTTCTTTTTTTCTTATGACATCTTGCTCAGGCTAAGCACTAAGTAAAAAAGGTTGAGAGAATTCTTGGCTACGTGTGCCAGACTCTCTTAAGATGTGACCTCCAGTGTCCAATTCTTTCCACAAGGACAGTTGTAGACCTGAGTTTCAAAGTTTGGAACCAAGCGCCCCCTCCACTGCTTCTCAAGGGGCTTCTCATTGAGAGGGTGGGAGCAGAAGAGGAAGGATGGTGGGCAAAGGGGTACAGTGATGGCACCAGGGCATGGGACTGCAGCACTGGCATCTATTTGCATATTTACAGAGAGAAAAGATCATGAGGGCAAGAGCCAGAGGGCCCTAGGTTTGAATTCTGCATCTGCCACTTACTAGCTGTG